TATGAATCCCATCAAAAACCTCTGGGCCATACTCGACTGGCAAGTCAAGAAACACAAAAAAAACCAACTTCGATGAGCGATCTACTCCAAGTTTTGAAGCAAAAGTGGACGAAAATCCCACAATCTAAAATTGGCGAGATGATTCTCACGATACCCCAAAGGATCAACGAACTCCACGAAGCGAAAGGAAGATCTACTAGATATTAATTAAATTATAAATGCATCAGTGCATGTGAATATGACTGAAACATTTCATTTTTTTCTGAATAGGTGGTGTCTATTTACTTGTGACCAGGCTGTGTATATGTGAAATAAAATGCGTCCTGTGCTCTTAAATTAATTATATCATTCCGTTAAAGTTATAGTAATATATATTTAGTGTTTTAGCCACATGAAATATAAATTATCAATTCTTGTTTTATCAGTGAAATCATTTTTGCAACATCGAATACAAATGGTATACTAGCAGCAATCACTAAACTATTACTGTTTCTACATTCTAGTTTACAACTGTAGTTCATTTTTCTGACAAGTCTGGATAATTTTCTCCCATTTTCAGTTATAATAATCATTTTACTGGGAGATTGAATAATATTGTGTTTTCTCTTGTTCATCTAACATTTTAGAAACTTGCAACTGAGATCTGTAAATCTGGTTTTGACAAAACTTTCGAAGCTATGGATTGCGAGGTCGGTGAACCTTTTCTTTATTCTCTGAATTTGGCAATGACTGATATTTCAAATCGAAATAAAAATATTTAAAGATGAGGAATGTTATGTGTAGTTGTTCATAATCGTCAGTAGTGTTACATACTGCTAGTTGTGGCTTGTATTTAGAAGTAAACAAATTATTTTGTGGTTTTTAAAGAATCAGGTAAGAGAGGGTATTCCCTTTTTCCTCAAATTTTAACGAAAGGTATTCAAATCCAATTATAAATCCATGAATTTTATGTTCTTTTTTACATTCATTCGTATTTATCTTTAGTGTTAATAAAGGGATAAAAATAATATTTATTATAATGGGATTTCTGTAAGTAGTTTTTTGCTAAGAATGTCAGTTCTCTACGAATCTCCGATTTTTGGTGCTATTTATGACAACGAAATGGAGCTATCGTCCATGTTGTCTTTCTACCTTTTATGCACATTCTGTAAAAAATGTAATGAATTGTTTATTGTCTTTAAGAAACGAAAAATTATGAAGAAGTCTGAAATATATTAAAACACTTATCTATGTGATGAAAGTTTCACACAGATGGTGTAAAATATTTGTGAAATGGTCTCTGTCTTTGAGCTGCCTTTGCAAAGCGTATAATCAGTTATCCCTATTTTCCATTAATATTAATTTTTTCCCCTATTTATTTGTTCAGTTTTCATATTTTTATATAATGGACACAACATCTACAAACTTTTAGTATAGCCATATCCCTGATAGCTATAACTTTTACAAGAAATAAAACTATAATCACAAATTTATAAAAGTTACTCCATACTTAAGGATTAAATCTTATGAATTTGTGATTGTGTCTTTAATTCTTGTTTCGTTACTTTTTGTAGCAGGATACCTACTTCATTTTAAAATTTATACTTTTTTAACACTCTTGTTTGTTTACTTTTTATGTTGTACCCGTATAAAGTATATACAAAACCTTTATAATGGAGAAAATATTAGTCAATATATGAAATTCTTTAAGACGAATAAAACTTTGATCTAATAGACGGCACTGAAATGGCTGACAAAGGACGATGGAATTGTGGGTAACAAATTTCGAGAATTTCTCTCATCTCATGGGCATCGTTGCTTGAAAGAGGTAATTTTTATGATTTATTTTAGATATATTCGAATGTGTGAGTAAAAAGTATACACAAAATCAAAATTAAAAAAGCTAATAAAATACCTAATTACCCATTTCTCATTTTACATAAATAGAATGTGAATTTTCATCCTTACTCGATAGATTTTGGTGAACCCTTTTATAAATACCGGAACTTCGATTGTTGAGTTCTATACATATATTTAGTGTAAAATGTGGTTAATTCAGAATAAACCACTCACCAATGTTTGTCAGGAAACTTCTAATTAAACCATGATAATTTGGAGCTGGTAAGTTTCAGTAGTAATGCACGAGATGCGATCTCCTTCTATAGATAAGAGTTACATTTATATATATATATTATAATTTTTTATCATAACTGTTATTTTGAATTGCTGGCTTAGCATATATATCGATTTAGGAATATTATATGGATTTATGAATAGTCCAAATATCTTAAGCTGGCCGAACCTTGTAACATATTGTCGGGATTACATTCGAAAATAGTGCTTACAAGCGTGGTATCCCATTGAAGAAACAGTTCAATCTAATTTTCCCCCACCCACAACTGTTTCAGAAGTAAGTATGAGGGCTTATAACGCCAAAAATCGGACTTCGATACTCACACCACAGATAACGCGTGGTATTGTTTTGTGTTTAGCAATAAACAAAACAAAAAAAGGATTCCAATCAATATAAATAAGAATCTAAGAACAGTATATTCAGTTACTTTTGTTCATTACTAAGTTAATTCTATAATTCTGATCTATGTAGATAGCTTTCTTTGATCAGGAGTTAACAATAATTATACTTATGCATATATGCACTTTATATCCATATAGTTCGACACCATGACAAAGCCATGGAACGAGGATCCTCAGAGTTTAGTGACGACGTTGCAGGTAAAGCTGATAGTTACAGATAATATTTTTAACATCTCATTTTAATAACTAATTCTTTAGGAACTAATGTTTTGAAACAAGCCATATAAATGGTAGTATTTTAAAAATCCTTAGCATACTATCTATTACAATGAGATACAAAACACAAGACAGTTGTAGAGGTTTCATTGCTTACAATTTGGCCCGGCATGGCCAGGTGGTTAGGGAACTCGACTCGCAATCTGTGGGTCGCGGGTTCGAATCTCTGTCCCACCAAACATGCTCGCCCTTTCAGCCTTGGGGGCGTTATAATGTGACCGTCAATCCCACTATTTGTTGGTAAAAGAGTAGCCCAAGAGTTGGCGGTGGGTGGTGATGACTAGCTGCCTTCCCTCTAGTCTTACACTGCTAAATTAGGGACGGCTAGCTCAGATAGCCCTCGTGTAGCTTTGCGCGAAATTCAAAAAACAAAACAAACAAACTAATACGGAAAGTAAAATATAGTTTTCCATTCTATTTGCTAGATTTCACTTGAGGAGAACTTATAGGTTTATGGGATAGGGTTTGATTAGATCCTACTCTGATGTCTGTTACTGTTACAGAGTTTCGTTATACAAGACCGGAAAGTAAAATATAGTCTTCCATTCTATTTGCTAGATTTCACTTGAGGAGAACTTATAGGTTTATGGGATAGGGTTTGATTAGAGCCTACTCTGATGTCTGATGTCGATATCCTCTGTGGGTAATGCTTGAGTTGTAAAAATTAACAAGTGGAACGATCAGGTTTGATATCTAGTTTGCAGTCCCATGCTGCACAAATCTGCTTGACTAGTTTAACAACAGGAATGATTTTATAAAACAGTTAACAACGGGAACGGCGTTCCAGTTCGTTCTGCCTCAACTCAAGCACTGTCTTTGGAAGAACTCAGCTAGTCAAGTGTGTAGCTTTGTGCTTAAAAACAAACAAATATTCCAGTTTGCCCTAATGTCCAGTACTTTGATTGGGATTGATCAAGTTTTACTTTCATTTACTTTTATATCATTGTTTATATTCAAATTGAATAATATGCAATACTTAAAACTTGTTTCTTGTCGGATATATAGAGTAGAATACCTAAGATTACAGCATTTCACCACGTTAACTTGGCACTTCAGGTATACAACTACAAAAAGTGATCTCCTGATTTAGATAATACAAAACTAGCGGATGGATACATTGATATTTGATTGGTTGAGCTTAACAAGTCTGCAGAACATGAAAAAGATGTTGCAATTGTTCAAACAATTATCACTATTTTTCGATACATGAGGTATCTTGGTCATAAAAGTAATTGAAAATCAGACAAAGGAATATATAAAACTGGAAATTATGTCAAAAGTAAACTGTGGAAGACTCTTTCATCCAAAGGCTGCCAAACTTCAAACACCCTTGAAGATCAGTTTAAGCTGAACCCTTTCTCTGACGCCATATCCTGTCAAGGGATTTGGATCTTCTGTTATAAAATAAACAGTATATTTGTTTCTCGCAACAACCAATCGTTAGACAGAATGATACACACGAAAACTGTATGCAAATCAATTTGATGTTGTTCCAAAATAGTGGTTCAAAACATTGTTTTAGAATTTACTCGATATTGTGAGTTACCTACTGTTAGAATGTTAATATTCTTACTATCGCTATGAAAATGTACAAAATACTTTGAAATATCTTACACTGTGACATATGTGTTCGAACCCTAATTCTGATATATGCTAGGTATTTTCCATAGATTAATATAGTCTGATGGAACTATGTTATCAATTTACCTTAAAAATACAAAAGCTAAAACATATATATACTACAATTCAACCTTAGAAGTTTAAAACAATGGTTAGAAAAGATACAACTGTATAACAGAATATTCATTAATCTTAGGTTCAAGCTGTTCAATTAATAAGGCTTCCTTTATTTTGCGGTGGCATATATTTTTTCTCTATTGATAATTTCAATATCTTGAGGTTGAAGCAAATTACATTAGTCGTTAAACTTGGGAAGAGAGGGGGTATGTTCCTTAACACAGATAGAAACTTGTCTCGATATGCTAGTTATACAATTGATGCATTGAATGAATCAAAGGTAAGTTTGAACCTTTTACTCGAGGTTGTTGTATAATTCGTTTGTATTTTCCTCTGAAAGGCCATGGTAAAGACTGTTCATTTGATGGCCATTGCCAAAGAAGAATTACCAATAACAGAAGCTATTGAACAAATCAAGTACAAACCAACGACGTTTTCCAGGTAGAAAGATAATGGTAGCCTTTTTTTTTAATATGTAGAAGTCTTATTTAAATTAATAAAATAATACATTACACATAATTCGGTACGTATTGTACATGTACATACACGCACGTTCATATATTTATTCATATTTAATCTCTTGTTTACCTATGTTGTGATATTATAAATTTCTCAATAACGTATACATAGCTTATCAGTGGCATCATTCACATCTTCAACCAACTCTTAAGGACAGTCATTGTATAGAAAATTAGGTTCTGTAGAAAATAAATATTCTTTTTAATTTCCCTTCAGCATAAAAGATGGAAGTCAATGTCTTACTTAGGATTTTATAGAACGTTCCTTTAGGATGGATCATTTCCAATGTTTTTCAAACACATTTGCAATAGTAAAACTCGTTCAAAGTGTTAGTGGATTAAAAAGTTAAAATTAGCTTGAATAAGTTCCATTTTAGATTAAAGTTATTTTCTCAACATATACGATATGACACTTGATAATATTTTAATATTAAGATAAATGTATAAAGAATATTTAAAATTTAAAACCGAGAAATTATTAAAGTATATATATATAATATATGTATGTGTGTGGTAAAATAATTCAACAGAATGCTTATGCTGTTAAATATTGCCAATTATATTTTGTGAATGAAATAGTAAAGAAATAAATACATAAACAAACATATTATCAAGTTTTTTCACTATATTCTGATTAAAAAAATTAAAAATAGAATAATGTTTTAGATGTGGTATTTCAAGTTGTTGATTCAATTAATATGTCGTTTTTTTGTGCTGAAACTTTGCTTTACATGTATCTTCCACTTTTAGTAATGCTTGATTGTACCGAATTTGAGAACCATATTAAACAATTACAATTTTCATACTGATACAACGAACTTTCGAAAACTGTTGTAGTAATTTTGAAGAATTTTAATATAATTAGGGACATAAATTTTGTTCCAGGTTTATTCTACATTTCCTTGTGTCACAGGCACGACGGGGAGTTTGCCTCAGAGAGATGAGTAAGGTGAGTCAGCTTGATTGTACCTCAAAAAATACGATATAAAAATGTATTTTGTTGGTATGAGAGCCACAAAGTGCACATATCAGACATGACAAAATACTTGCAGTGTGTGTACTACAAAAAAAAAAGTTTGACTTGCTTTATACTGGTGTACTAAATCAAGTTTTATTTTTTAAAACTACGTAAAAGTTTCCCACATGTATGATTCTTTAATTTGTATATTTAACACGGCTACAACTTTTTAATGGTCACGAATGGATAATTTATGCCTATTAATACAATAGTGGACAGGTTTATTGGACAGATATTGACCCTTCCCGTATTCAACATAAATTCACAAGAAATATTTAGGTGAACCTGTAAATAAATGTTGTAAACTATTTATACATTTGTCTTTCTGCATAATTATTTTATAAATGTGTCTAATAAAACATGTGAAATGTTTCCACTTAATGTTTTATCTGACCAATTATGTATAATTAATTTCATAACGTGCTGTACATAAACGTCTTGTATTTATTTGAAGTATTATGTAGTCTCTCCTAGTACAGTATATAAACGTCTTGTATTTATTTGAAGTATTATGTACAGTCTCTCCTAGTACAGTATATAAACGTCTTGTATTTATTTGAAGCATTATGTACATTCTCTCCTAGTACATTATATAAACGTATTGTATTTATTTGAAGTATTATGTAGTCTCTCCTAGTACAGTATATAAACGTCTTGTATTTATTTGAAGTATTATGTACAGTCTCTCCTAGTACAGTATATAAACGTCTTGTATTTATTTGAAGTATTATGTACAGTCTCTTCTAGTACATTATATAAACGTCTTGTATTTATTTGAAGTATTATGTACAGTCTCTCCTAGTGAAATACGTAGACAATTTTAGAAAAAGTTATCGTTTGTTGGAGAAATTGATGGTGAAAGAAGGAAGACTTCCAGATTCTGAATTACTCCACTTCTTCACTAACGAAGAGATTCGAGAGCTTCTGATGACACGATCTGCACATTTGATCTCAGTGTAAGTGTTTTCAAGGCAATGTACTGAAGTCTAAGTTTTCTTTCCCACATGGTTTTAAACACAATGCTCAACATTTGGAGTTACGAAGCTTTATATAAGTATTGCAATTAATGGTGTAAAATTATATGTATCTACAGCTAACCCTGAATTTTAAAGAGCTTTATTTTTTATTTTATTTTATTTTATTAGAGCCGTTCGAAGACGTAGAATGCATAAGAAATTGAGTGCTGTGGTGTTTCCGGAAATTATGATTGGTGAACCGAGACCAGTAAGCATTTGAAACGTTTTGAATGTATGAATTTATGTATAAATATATTGAATAACTTTGAAAATCTATATCGCAGTTATTTCTTACAAATGAAATATCTGCTCTTTTTCAAAAGTCCAATATAAAATGAAAATGATATAAAACACACATTATTTTGATAAAGATGTAAAATTTGAATATCAGAACGGTATTCAGCACCATGTTTATTGAATATCGTGTTGAATAAATTTTCATTTTCAATGAAGTTCTTAGATGACTTTCAATAAAGTCTAAACTGCTAAAGATTTTTCATGTATATTCTTAAGATAGTCTAAATGTAACACTTACATTAAATATTTTTAAAAATCTGATTCGTAGGTTTGGTTTTCATTAGATAAAGCTGTTAACAGTTTAATATAGGTTGTGTTCTACTTCAGAAGTCGAGTATAACACTAAGATCTTTATGAAAAATAAACAAAAATAAGTCTTTGAAAAGATAAACTAAATGATTTCTTTTTAAAAAGAGCATAATATTATGACTAACATATTAATATACGCATAAGAAATGTACTTTTTAAAGAACGTAATGGGGCGAAGAAACAGCAAAATTAAAAAAAAATTTTTTTACAAATACAATTAATTATAACGCTCTTAAGAAATCTTCATTTTCACAGATCTCAACTGAAGAAATTGAGGACACTTACTCCTCTCTTCAAGAATTACAAGGTCTGGTTTATTATTTTACCTACTAGAGATAAAAAAATACATTTACATTCACAGTAGTTGCTAATTTATTTATAGTAATGTTGAATAATTGTAGTAATTTAAACCGCTTATTATATGAATTTTAAAATTTTTAGATAGTAATATAAAATTCGCGTGTTAGTATTAATCATCTTTACGAAATCAACTATATATGTGTGTGTTAAGTTATTTAAGTTATCTAGAAATTATTTAAGGTTTATGACCAGAATTTTTTCTATCACGAATGTCTTCGTATTATTCTCTTTCTAGAAATTATTCAAATATGAAATCATTCAAACTATAGAACCAACTTCTTAAAAATAAAATTTTAATTTCAATTAAATTTTTTTAAGTTTTTAGAGTTTGATTAATCGTCAAGTTTCAATCTGCATATTTCTTAGGTAGAGAAGGTGAAAAACAAGATTGATGCATATTTTCATGTTTACCACAGGTGTCACAGTATGTCAGGGCGTTGTGAAGGGAGTGACTCACGTTGCTAAAAATCTCAATGAAGCCTCTAGTTTACAGGTGAGTCTGTTATTTATTGTGTCTGTTTAACTTGAACGGCACATTATTTCGACATGTGAGCTAGACGGTCAGGTGAGAGACCTCAAGGTACAGGAATTAACAGCCCTAATTTGAAACTGCTGACTACATGTGATGGGCTACTTTTATTAAAGTACCGAGATTGATTGTCACAGTTGAATGTACCCACAACTGAAAGTATTCGTCAACATATCTCGGTTCAAACCATAGGTTTTCTGATCCGTGTTCTGGGACGCTAGCTATTAGGTCTAGCTGTGAATATATCACTGAATAAAATAATTTTAACAGCATAAAACAGGGGAAGACTTAATTGATCTAGTTTCGCTGTGTGTTTGTATGTAAGATCCTCCCTCATATTTAAGTTGTAAAACATTAATTAATATTTGTTAAAGAATGTTGTTATATAGTGTATAGATATTTTTCTATTTTATTTTATAGTAGTTTGGTAGAAACACTTCTGTTGCTTTATAATAACTGCACACTGGAAATGAGATGTTCAAGTTATCGGTATGTTTGTTTGTCTTCATCTGTATACATGAGGAAGTTGGGATTGCGAATAAAGGAACGAAAATTGTTACTAATAGTGATACGAATGTTATGAACTGTGTATTAAAGATTGTTTTAGAACTTGCACAAATTATATAATAGAATTAGATGTACAATGCTCATAATAAGTCATGACTATATTTTATTTGGCTATAAATCAATCTTTATTTTACTTTATTTAATCAACAGCAAACTTTGCTCTTCACGCTTAATTACAATAATTTTTTCACTCGGTGACTAATATCAAAGCTCATCATTGAACGCAAACATTAGATATATTATAGCACATAAACAGAATACATAATAGTTTCCCATTTTGTGTCACACTATAATAATTTATTTTAATTTACGAAAGTAAAATTTTCCTTTTCCTTTTCATTTGAAGAATAAATATACGCAAACATTAGATATAATATTGCACATAAACAGAATACATAATAGTTTCCCATTTTGTGTCACACTATAATAATTTATCTTAATTTACGAAAGTAAAATTTTACTTTTCCTTTTCATTTGAAGAATAAATATACGCAAACATTAGATATATTATAGCACATAAACAGAATACATAATAGTTTCCCATTTTGTGTCACACTATAATAATTTATTTTAATTTACGAAAGTAAAATTTTACTTTTCCTTTTCATTTGAAGAATAAATATATGAAAACATTAGATATAATATAGCACATAAACAGAATACATAATAGTTTCCCATTTTGTGTCACACTATAATCATTTATTTTAATTTACGAAAGTAAAATTTTAGTTTTCCTTTTCATTTGAAGAATGAATATACGCAAACATTAGATATAATATAGCACATAAACAGAATACATAATATTTTCCAATTTTGTGTTACTCTATAATAGTTTATTTTCATTTGCCGAACTAAAACTTTACTGGACCTTTCCATTTGAAATATAAATGTATTAACTGCTAAATTCTAATGATTTCGACAAAGGTTTCTGATTACATTCTTAAACTCCTTAAACGGCAAACTTTCATGTAAAAGAGATTAAAATAAAATGAAGAAAAATGTTCTACTTGATCACCAGTTTCACAAGAACAAGCTTTAGTAATATTCCATTGTTTCATTAAACATTATTCGTGTCAGTGTAAATTACTAGTTGTCACATTAAGTTGATTGAAGTGTAATTCATTTTGTTCTTAAAATTTATAACAATATAAATAAAACATAACTTACTCTAATTTAACTGTCATTTTACCATGTTAGCCAATTGTACAATATCTTGTAACTTCTTGGTTCAGACTTGTTTTATAACAAATATTTCATTTACAGCAAAGAGATATTCTCATTGCCCACTCTACAGTCATAGGATGGTCTCCATACTTTCCACTTCTGAGTGGTATTGTCACAGAACTAGGGGTCTAATTTCTCACGATGAGTCGCATTTAGAAACTATTAAAATACTTATATCTGTACTTGCAAGAATCTCCGCAAAAACATTCCAGTTGAAGAACAGAAAATAGCATTAATGAAGAATAATCATATCCTTTAAATACGAATAAAATTATAAAATGAAGAGGATATATTTATTTCTTATTATTCATTTTATTTTCAGTTGCTATTATTTCTTCGTTATACAAAATAATCCTATTAAAAGATTTAAATTTACTTAGAAGTGTCAATATTGAACTTAATATACAAGCATACAAAGAAGAAAGATATATTTAAACTAAATAATCAGATTCTAAATTGACGTAGGCATTAATTACAAACAAGACTTCACTGTTACATGATATTGACTACATTTCAATCTTTCGAAAAATTATGATTTTGAAACACCTGATGCACTTTGCTTTTGAAAGAGGTTACATCAGATCCTAATTAGTCACTTGCATTACATAGTTCCTAACGTTAAGGAGCAATGTATGAGGTTTGATTATCAAGTCTATGTAGTTAAGCCATGTTTAATCACTCTCAAAATCTTCCAAGATTAAACCGGTATATGAATAAATTGTTGTATTAAATTCAACAGAATAAAATAATGGAAGCCTGAACGATCTATCCGATTTTAACTATAAGTTCAGAGTTTAAAAAAAAGTATGAATTTATATTTTTACATTAAAAAGATATATATATTAATTTAATTTTTCAGGTGCTGTGGTCGCAAGAGAGTATGATTTGCCTTCTCTAGTGGCAGTTCAAGGCGCAACGACTACGTTCAAGACGGGTAAGGAAAAAAACAAAAAACATAAAATAATTAACGCATAAACGTAGTTGAAACAGCTTAGACGTAACTACGTATCTATGTCACTAATACACTAATTTTAGTGAATATTCATAGGAATCGGTGATAAAACAGAAACTTTCAATTACTCATGAACCAATAACACTATAAATATGTTTATTAAAAAGTAACAAACAGATGTTTTGCATTTTCTAATATTATTTCTTCCAAGCAAACCTTATTACATAAATTATATATACCTTATACTTCAATATGTTAAATTACACACCTATATATCCATTACATGCCCACACTGTATACACAATCTACATCAAAATCACAATTTTGAAACTCATTTGTTGATGATTGTCATCAGTTTAGAATTGTCTAAGGAAGAAGTAAAAAATAGTTTATTTTCTCCAACACTTCAATCTGGCCCGTCATGGCCAGATAGTTATGGCCCTCGACTCGCAATCTGCGGGTCGCGGGTTCAAATCCCCGTCCCACCAATCATGCTAGCCCTTTCAGCCGTGGAGGCGTTATAATGTGACGGTCAATCCCACTATTCGTTGGTAAAAGAGTAGCCCAAGAGTTGGCGGTGGGTGGTGATGACTAGCTGCCTTCCCTCTAGTCTTACACTGCTAAATTAGGGACGGCTAGCCCAGATAGCCCTCGTGTAGCTTTGCGCGAAATTCAAACCAAACAAACAAATACTTTCTATGT